TGCTGACATCTACTAATACTAAGGCTCTAGTGATTCAAGCTTCGAGCTGTCAGTTAGACTGGTCCACAAGAACAACCGACCACTGCATAAGGTGTATGAAGCCTCCATAGCCTTGAGCATTCTGATGTCCAGGTGTTCCTACTAAGAGCGGGAGCTTCGCGACTCTGTTGTCCACGGCTCTCGTTCAGTTTATGGCGACAGCCAATACCGATGTGAATTAAAATGTAGACATCATGTTCTAAATTGACTTCTCATAAAGTCGTAAGCGCCTTATAGTCGCCATTAAGCACATCCAATGTCTTTACCGAAACTATGAGTCGACTCGATGCTTACAGCCTGAATATTTACACTATCTCGCCTCATACCACCTTCATAGGCATAGCGTAGTCGTATCCATTCGTGGCTGAAATAGAGTTTGGCGAGATTTCAGTTTGAACATGCCTTTGTGGAGCTAGCAGCACTTTCAGCTTGTGTCCTGATGTTCGTCTTAACCCTTTGCGTGAGGCGAGGCAGACTAAGGCAACCAACCAATGTTTGAGGCGAGCACAGGAATCCACCTTAAATAGTCGGGTAACCTACCTCCGGCTTATCCGATAGCTTGACTTTTGACGTGACGAACCTGTCGTCACTGTACATGCGATACAATACTACAGAGTACTGAGCCGAAGTGGAATATTTAGCTCAGCTATCTCTCCACCCACAGCCCATACCAGAAGTCAACGCTCGACGACATAACAGCATACACCTATGGATCCAGGTATGATGACCTTCGTTATTACAGAGCATGCCACTAGGTGCTAATTTAATGCTGGATTAGAACAGAGCATTGTGTTAGACAACGGGTTGGTTATCTTAATACCATAAAACGTTTTAGTCTTAATCTAATTCCTTCCCTATCAAGGTCAAGCGTACTAAAAGTTGGCATGGCTGGGGATGACAGCCCAAAGGCCATGATCCGTAGGTTAATAGAAATGCAACGTCTAGAATTTTTATTTTATGATTATGCTTTCATGCCTCTTCAACATTGCATTATCACGATTTGACCACAGAATACAAGCTGATAACTAGCCAATCCAGCCTCTGTTGTTGGCTATGTGCAAGATAAAGGGTGTGTGAGACTGCATCCCTATCTAATTTTGAGCTCCTTACGGTCGAGTTCCGCCTAAGAACTCATCGATTCCTAACTCTCCTTTAGGGTACCCAACCTATTGCAAAGACGAGACGTCCTTTTCGGCGAAGACAGTCTCAAACGACGGGCCGATGTCAGCCTTTCACGGCCTATTACTCGTGGAGTGGTGACCTCCTGGGCTGACATGGAGCTCTTATGGGATCATGCCTTTAAGACTATCAACGCGCCGCCGTCAGAGCGGAGGATACTTCTCACCGAGCCGCCTTGCAATCCTCTCTCAAATCGCGATAAAGTATGCGAAATACTATTCGAAACATTCGATTCGGCAGCTCTGCATATTGCCATACCAGCAGTGCTTTCTATGTACTCGTCGGGTCGCGGAACTGGCGTCGTATTAGATATTGGTGAAGGGGTAACGCATGTCCTTCCTGTTGATGGGGGATATACAGTAAAATCTGCTATAAGGAGGGTTGACTTTGGAGGAGAGGATTTAACAGACTACCTGACAAGACTCTCTACTGGTAAAAGTGGCTGGTTAAGCTCCGTTGCAGAGAAGGAAGTTATGCGCAGGATAAAGGAAGCCCATTGCCATATAAAGAAATCTCCAACTTCGGAATATTGGACTAATAAATCTACCTGGAAGCTTCCAGATGGACAAGAAGTCAACATCGGCAACGAGCAGTTCGAGATAGGAGAGGCTTTATTTAACCCTCGACTAACAGGGGCTGCGGTTGAAGGCGTTCAGAGTATTGTGCTAGACTGTATTCAACGCTGCGATATTGACATCAGGCGGTTATTTTATAATAATATTATTCTTGTAAGTTGGACATGCGAAGGAGTTGGCGTTCTTTTATTATACAAGTCAGCTAACCAGCCAGTAGACAGGGGGAACTTCCAAGTTTTCAGGATTTCCTCAGCGTTTGGAAAGCGAAATCAGGGGTTTATCCAAGTCAAGGGCTCGGGTCCATATAGTCACTGGCTCAAACCCCGGCCTTGAGCCTTGGGTAGGCGGGTCAATTCTCGCCTCTTTGTCGTCGTTTCCACGCTTCTGCGTGTCAAGACAAGAATACGACGAAGTTGGTTCTTCAGCTATTCATTGGAACAGAATTACATAGAGTCGGTTAAAGCTGTATACAACGCGATGCCCGGCAGGTGTGAATCTCAATACGTTAACGCACTGTATTGGACTGCAAGGCTATGCATTAAGGCATTCGCGGTGTAGTGATCCCATACTACCTTCTAATTCTATATAGTATGAGTGACTTCATTGGGCATATACTAGCAAGGTCTAAAGCGGCTCCCAAAATGAATTACCTAGACGGAACGGCCATTTAAAGCCTGCCAGGGAGGGAAAGAGTCAAAAATGGTAATCAGGAATGCATTCATACTAGTCTAGTCTATTAAGTGCACTGGTCTTTTAATCTTGGGATGCGGGCGTCCGCGCTTTGCGTAGCTGTGATATTGACTAGCAGTCTTCTTCTAATGCTGGCAATCCGTAAGTTGGGAGCCGCCGAGCTTGACCAGGGTTCCTTTAAGTACGCTTAAGTCCTTAACAAGCTAAAGGCCAAGCGTGAGCATATTATTATTATTAGTATTACGTTTTAAAAGTTTAAGACTTCTGGGCCCTACATTACACTGTGAACCTTCTGTGAATTTCACTGGCTCCATTGAGCGAACAGACTAAACTATAAGCCTCGGTTGCGGGGGTCATAAGTGCGCTTCGGGTCGACAGTAGGAAGGAAATCAAACTATAGTCCTACTCCTATACAGTTATAGAATTATATACTCCTTCCCTTTAAGACCTAAGGGACCTTTTTGAAACAAGTAAGCAGTGCGCGCAGCGTGCTTAAAGACCTTACAGACAACCCCTATAGTCTTAGTAGAGCACTCTACATACTTAGAAGCCTGGATCTTCTTACAGATTTCCTTGCCCTATTCTAATATTAGTATAATAAGGAGACATAAATTATTTTAATAATAGAGATAGATTAAAAGTTTAGTCTCTAGCTTATAATGAAATCTTTTTACCTTCTTAAGAGAGACAGGCTTCTGGCCCGTCCTCGATAGCTCCTTAAGGGCCTCCTGGCCGTAATGAAGATATTTCTTACATCTAATAAGAATAAGGGGCAGGCCCTGCGTAAAGTCTAGAACTTCGACAATCCACTAAAAGGTAAAGTATCTATTAGTAGCGAATTACAACGACGCTGCCACTGAGGATAGTATAGTTAGGCGGTAGGTTGTAGTAAAAGCTAACCTTCTAAAGAACGTGATCGAGCGAATCGGGTAAGTTGATGGCGAAGCAGATTAAGATGGCATGGGAGTCAGGGTATGAGATGGGCCTGATACAGTGATAGCCCTCCCGGCTAACAGTATCCCAAAAGGCCAGTTCAAAATGCTTGCTATCAACCTTGACTTCAGCAACCCAGCCCTAGGTTTAGTTAAGTTAGTATAATCTACCACTTTTATCGTTATTATCAATTCATCTTTATATCAGAGTTTGTGAAGAAGGCGCGGTTAGGATAAGCCTTAGGCTGGACGCTGCAATAAAGAAAGGGACAACAGACAAAGCGCGCGAGTAAAACTTTCGGAAATCAATGGGGATTCATCTTATCTCAGGGCCCGCGAAAGTGCCCTCGGCGAAGGTACTATTCAATAATAACAAGTCAGCAAAGAGTTTCATGATTCCAGACACAGCGACACGTCGTGGCATGGTAATTAATGAGGGTTCACAATGTAGCAAGGCACTGGCCGCAAACCCGGAGATGAAATGCGAAGAGGCCCGGGGAAAAGGAAAACCCACGTTAACAAACAGGTCTTCCCATAGGCACCATCGCCAACAGTGACGAGCTTGCAGCAGATCACCGTCATAGTGAACGAGCTGTTGTGCAGGCAGAGGCTGCACAAGGGCGGAAGATGATGGATGAGAAGGAAAAAGATGGGGAAGAGAGTTCTCCTGCATTTCTTGTTATGTCTGTGTGATTCATGCCGGCGACTCCGCTCCCATATGGACTCAGCCCAGCTTGTTTGAGTCGACGATCTTGCTATGGACAGACTTGGAAGACTGGAGAACAAGGAGGAGCCCCATTGTGTGGTTCAGAATATACTACACCGTGAAAGCAAAAGAATAGGGGCCACGGCTGGCATGTCGCATGGAGCAGATTATAGGATTGACCGACCTGTGTTTGAAGTCCTACAGACCTTGATTTCAATCTTCCTGTCATATCGGAGTTGTACATGGATCTGCGGAACGGAACCATGAAGCTGTCAAGATCCCATTCAGAGCTGCGCCACCTGGAAGCAGGGCCACGGCCAAGAGGAGAAGAAGTTCAAAACTGGTATGTATTGCAAACAATATCCTTTTGAGACTTAACGGCCTCCTGTACCAGCAACCCAATCTTGGTGCTCTTGTTACAGTGCTGATGCGCTCAAGCTGAATGCAACGGCGCTTCTCGAGATTGTCGGCTGGCCGACGAGACCGCTACCAAGCTAGGCAGCGTAGGGGCTGAGTTCGTATTTGTGGCTGAATTAACATTTGGGTCCACTAGGTCACATCTTTCTACAGGAGGCTGGGTTGATGGAATGAAATATTCTCTTGAATGATCCAAGTCACTGCTTCGCACGCATGACGAGTTCCGTGGTTGCTTCGCGGGTCTCTTGCATCGGCTGACCAGAGAGAGAGCTCTTCAGATCTTAGAGAAGCTGCCTTTCGGATTTGGAAAAGAAATGTACCGCCTTTTATGTTCTTTTGACGATGCAGACGTCGAAGCGGCTACTCAAGGTCTTGCGGACTGCAAGGTGCCTTGGGACAAGCACGTAGGCAGTCTGAGAATCATGCCAAGGAAACCAACTTGGCGGCAAACTCGATCCTTGTCTATCCGTAGTCCCGGTTGACTAATGTAGTCCACCCCGGTTGCGATGGATCCATGGCCTTCTTGAGAATATCCGCCCGGCTCCTCTCCATCTGGCCTGTCGCGGACCCCAGACCCACATAATGCAGGATCGTTTGACAATCATTCCAGATGCGCTCCCGGTTGCGGAGGCCAGGCACGCACGGGTTCATAGGATGGCACCGCCAGTAGAGGCACCGCCAGTCAAAGTCTGGGCCTGGGCCTGGTTCCGCTTCCACTGCTTGACTGTGCTGCCCTTGCGCATCATCTCCTCCTCCCTGGCATGAGATCCATGCCGCCACGCGTTCGCGGAAGACATGCCATTCCTGGAGGGCAGCTTCCTGCTTGGCGCGGTACGGCGCCATGAGCTTCTCGTTTTGCTCGAGGTTATGCTCCTTGACCGCCTTATACCCGGTTACCATCTCAGGGTACTCCTCGATGATGGTGGCCCAGACGCGCGCATGCTCTTCTTCATCCTCAGGCCTGATGGCGTCTGTATCTCGCGCCAGTGCCAGAGGCCATCTAGGTCCACGCGGCCCAGGGCGTGGTACGATGCCTTGGCGTATAGATCCAGGCAGTAGGAGTGCGCCGGGAGCGACACCAAGTCAGGAGTATCCTGCGGCGCGACAAATGTCAGTAACGCCAGAGCTAAGGGACCTTTTGCTTGCTTTGCTTAGCTTTTGCTTAGCCTTACCTGGCAGCCCCTGTTGACGTATGGCCAGTATGTCATTAAATGACGCAGCCAATGCCTCGGCGGGTGGAAGGAGTGCCACTCTCTTTCCGAGGCCGAGCCGTTGGTCTCGCCCGTGAGGAAGAACAGGCTGTCCTGCTCCAAGATGGCCTCGTCCTCGGCAGCCGTCCAGGCCGCCGTCTTGGGGACCAGATACCGCACGTTCCGGTAGTTCTTCATCTGGGCGATGCTCAGGGCGTGGCCGTTGATGCCGTCGAACAAACGGCAGGATGGCGAGGCAATGTGCTCCCTTTCCACCTTGCCCTCTGTTAAGGTGAGTTCGCAACCATGGATCGCCAACTAAGTGCAGGAGGGATGTCGCTAGCATGAATGACAGAATCTGGCGGTCCTTTACCTGTAACTTTGATAATGATAATTTAACGTCTCTTTCTATCTGTTTTATTAAGTCTTTTAGGCTTATAATTTACCTATCTGGCACCTAAGGGCAATACATCCAATTTATCTCCAGATCGACATCAAGCTGTAAAAGAATCTGGGCATAGATTATCATTCTAGGAGGGATTCTGGATTTTACTTATTAGAAAATTGCATAAAGACGGTTGCTTGCTTGCGTATGCTCTTCCGTCACGTGACTCATGTGTTAGTTAGCTGGGGCTGATTGAATTCTTCTTGGCCGAGGGATTGGAGGCAACCTTTTATACGCCTCCAGGGCCGGCCAAGGAGTCATAATTAAGGTTATTATCATATCAGCTTTATACTGTAGCCATTGGTCAGTCATCGNNNNATTTGCAGTTGAGATTTGTGGCTGTGACCTTATTCCAGCACAGAGAACCTAGCTGATTGAATTCAAGGGAGACGTACTCTTGTTCATTAACAGTGATCTTCGTATCCTGCCCAGGGCGCGAATTGGTCGAGAAAATACACGGAAGCGGGCTTCACCGCTAATATAATACTCCCAGCGGCGTGAGCTAGTTCAAATCGTTAATGCTGAGTAAGATTCCGTCGGATCTTGCGACGGACATGATATGCACTGCTAGGGCATAACGACTGTCCATTCTGCAGTGGGTTCCCTGAAGAGATCGAGAATCAACACCCCGATCCAGTTAGCAAAGGCGGACGCGAAGATCTATAAAAATATGTCAGAATCATCTTGTTTCCGTATCCCTTGCACTGGTTTCGGAACCAACCCATAAGGAAGATACGCGAGTTAACGGCAGGCAATCGGAAGCTCAGAGAAGCGATATTGAATGTGACATTTGGCCAAGGTGCAGACATATATGGGCTCTAATGCTGAAATCAGTCCTGTGACTGCAAGCAGAGCGAAACGCACAAGGCATAAGGAAGTCCCGCTTCCTAGCATTAATCTTACATTGATCTGGAGGATTTGAGAGTTGCTACCAGCTACTCCAAGATATTGTAGAAGTGAGCTGTCATACAAGTCAATGTTAGTCCAGAAAGCCACCATCTGGACTTAGAATTGGCTACGAGGGTTATAACTTGGGCGGGAAGGCCCTGGCATTTCATCCTAGGTCTGTTGCTTCTACCGCCCGAAGTGGCAGCGGAATGAGTGCGAATGGCCTCAAACAGCGGTAGAAATAGACCTCAGGCGACGTGGTCCCGACAGCAAATCAGTCACACGTTATCCATAGCTAGAAGTCTTAGAGCAAGCATCAGCATCATGCCAGAATAACCTCGTTACCCGCCGTGATATCACTCCTGACAGAAACCTTGCGCTTCCAACAACAATTCTTCAGAAATAAATAGTATTCAAGCGAATCTGGCAAATGATAGTGACAGTAGGCCCGCTTCCGGTCGGCCGAGCTTAAACTCCCAAGGGAGAACTCCATACAACGACCGGGCGCTCACTCCACCAGCAAAAACATTATCCAGCATGTGTTATCCTGGGGAAAAGGCGATGAGTAGTTGCCGCCGGCATTCCTAGCCAATGGTAGCATCTTGGGGGCCTGCGTCAACTTATGAAGCAGGGATAGTATTCAAAAACTGCTCCAACGTTAGCAAGCATTTAGCGACCGGCGGCAACAAAAGCGAAAGAAAGATAGGAAAAGAAAAATGAAGAATACAGGTACGTACTTGTTGAGAGCATGCCATGAAGGCCTGTCGCTTATTGGCAGCATCATTATTGTTGCAGAAGCATTGCTGAATTTCGGTCATGGTCAGTAAGTTTTCACGTGTAACAAGTGGGGAGGTGTCTGTACCCCCAACTGGAAATAAGCTGAGCACCATGAGTAAGTGCCCCCAATGGTAGGGCAAAACGAGGGAATGATAGTCGTGAAAGCAGCGCAAATAATCTATTCTCCGAGATTAGTCGACTTGCCACATCAATTGAGGGACAACACCTACGCTTCCACCCTGCCGGGCCTCAAGATGGCCCTGCTCATCTGGCATTGGGTTCGCTGCAGCTACAGCTGCGAGGGCGGAGATGATAGCAGTGGTGAACTTCATCGCTACTAATTGTGGAAGCTGAATGAAGAGTATATGCGATTTTGGCGTTGAGTGTTGCGGGACTGAGGTTGTGCTTCTGAGATTCCTGTACTTGGGGGACGGCTGTGACGGTCCTTTATATAGAGCGAGATCGCCAATGCTTCTCTCATGTCTCATGGGATGCTGAGAGTCCCGTTCTTCAAAATACTATAGACATCAAGGTTCACGGATCTGGTCATCCGTGCTTGGAAGGATCTACCTCAGCTCTATTGCAGACCACCCAGTCATCTTGATCGTCGTGTAACCTCTTTTCTGCGGGGATTTCTGTACCGGTATAATGTCAAATGGCCTTGCCGTCTTGAAGACAAATATGTCAAGTCAGGGTAGCATTTGCTGCACAACTCGACTAACTAGGCAAAGGCTCAGTAGCCCACCATTGCTCACCCCCCAGGAGTATGCAAGTTTCGTAGAAACCAGGTAGCCGCATAGTGCGGCTGAATTACAGTAGCCAGATGACAATACCTCGATAGTAGTCACGATTGGATGTAATACTCTCTCCTTGCCGTTCCCCCTTTACTCCTGGTTCGCCTACGGTAGTAGTTCGGTTAGCTAGAAACAGCAGTCGTTCCGAAGCCGTCCGTAGGAGACTGAATGGAAGCGATCATCCCAGAGGTTTCCTTTGAGGGGATGAACCTGCGCAGTTATCCCAATAAGCGCCGCATCGTGGCACACCATCCCGTAGGTTCGCGGCGTTTCCGTTGGCCCTTCACACCTGTTACCCCAGGATTGGCACAGGACAAGCGCAAAGGTGACGGAGCTGCACCATGTCAAGCTGAGCAGCCTATGCCACATTCCTTGATGCGGTCATCTTGCCGGCCTGGCCGCGGCAGCTACTTTCAAGGCGCGCTCCGTGGTCCTTGCGGGTCCAAGCACTAACTAGCATATCAGGGCTACGGGGACCTTTTAAAGTTCAATCAATTTTGACAGGACTTCCCCGCATTCACTGTAACTTAACTGAAGTGTCCGTCCGTTGACCTTATCTTTGTGGGGTTTGCCCGTTATAGGCTGGACATTAATTTGGTGCGGGTGATCGATCTCCGCGGCAACATGCCGCACAAATAAGCTTTTGCTCATCCGACTTATCCTACCACTTTCCAAAAAGGGTTAGTTAGAAATGCTGAGCAGGCAGTTAGTTGTGGGTAATGTGCCGTTCCGTTGACTGCCAAGGGCATGCGTCAGGGGGGTTTGACGCGCATCTACCAAGGTGAATTATAAGTGTTTCTCTGGGGCAGCCTTTTGGGGCTAAGCGAGCTCGGGCTCGTGCTGATCCTGCCAATAACAATACGTTCCCTGAATAGGACAGATATTCCTTGACTGCATGGCTAGTAAGAGGAAAGAGTACTGCTGACAAGTCGAGTCAAAGAGAGCAGTATACTCCGTACTGTCTCCATCTTCGTAGGTAGTCCAAGGTTGGCTGACGGGCGAGCCGAGCCTATTCGTTGATATGGCTGCTGAATGCCAAAATCAGCGGGCCCATAGATGTCCCAACGGCGTCGCTTGTCCGTTCAGATGAGTTGGCTGATACAGAAGCACCCGGGCCCCGTGCGTCCCGTAGGCCACGGGTTACGGTCCACGACTTTCGGCCGCAGGGCTGACTTTCGGCCGACCGCGAGCGATCTCCCGATGTCGATGTTGGCATAAAGATGGCCACCTAGTGCTATGCGCACCCCCACCGATGTGGTCATTCGGCGCGAAACATGGCTGCGTTAAGCACACGATAATTTAGGTTAGGCCATTGTTAATCTTCTCAGTAATATTATATGAGCAACCTAATCATGCTAGTAATTGTCTTAACTTGGATGCCTACTTCCGACCGCATCTACTGAGTACCCACACCCACGCCGTGGATAATCGCTGTCTCATGAGCTATAAACATTTGTATAGCTTCAGTCCTAGCAAATTAAAACTCCAGAAAGACAGAGGCTCGGAGGACGGCGAACGCCGAGAGCCAGCCTAATGTATCACGCCGAACAAAGTTTTTCCATCTTAAACATATACTTACGTACCTAGTTGAGAACCTATTGGCTACTTCACGTATTGCAGCAGAGACATTTCGACTTTTCAATACTTACGTAGTTGCGTTAAAAATGTTGCCATGGGGTGATTCTATTAGAGGAGCAGCTCTAACCACCCATCCATTGAGAATGATTGTCTCTCCGCTTTGAACCTTTCGCACTAATTTTCAGCTTATGTCTGTCGGGAAGGACGCTAAAGGCCGCGGTGCATTTTACGAGAACTGTCGCACCGACAGTTAGTTAATTTCCTAAATCTCCGCAGTTAGCGACCACCGCTAGTAATCTAATATATAATATTAGTACTAGAGGAGCACTGGTGCTTCTAACCTTTGCCCACTCGATGTAATACCCGTGGGCGAATTGGGTCACTGCATGTCTCACCACACGATTGATAATCAAATTGTTTCTTAGATGCAGAAACGACGACACTGCCCATCCTCATCATACCCATGTGTGAATACGTAGGTCACTAAAAGCAAGCCCCCCACCCCCTTAAAGTCTAATCCCTTAGAATCCGAGAAGGCACGTCTGATGTATATTTACGGGTCTTGACCCAGTATTTGATAGGCTGCTGATCAAGATACCAAGCTTAAAGTAACAGATTGGTAAGGCTAGAGGTAGCAATGTGTAGATTACAGTATCAGAGGTACCTGAATCTAGCCGGAATTTCTACCTTAAAAGAGTAAAAGAGGTAACTCAGATACTAGCTGTCTAGTTAGCTTGACCCCATAAATATTCATCAGACGTGCCTTGTCGGTTTCTAAGGGATTTTGCCCTGATTGAACCAGAAGTGTAAGGTACAAGCGTCAACACCTGGAATTCAATTGACCCTGGTAAGCCGGGGCCGGGGACCTCCGTATCCGAGCTACAGGGGGCGTGACAATCCCGGGCACCCCGCAGCTCCCGTTCTGTCTGAAAAGAACAGAGATGTGTTAAAGTATGATTGGAATCCACAATAGGGCTTAGGGTAGCGTTAGCCAGTCCATGTGCTCATAGACGGGGAAACCGGCAATTACCCTGCTATTAGTATAATTAAAAGGGACCAAGCTAAAGAGAGTTCCACTACATGTGATATACCAAGACTGGTGTGATGAGTGAGGAAATCGTTCCGGCTTGGTCGAGAATGAGCTCTCTTGCTTCAGGTCTAGCCGAGTAGAAACCAGTATAACCCCAGTCATACGCAAAATATACAACGCAAGTATTACGTAGTCGAAATAGAACCGGAGACACCGGCATAGAGGATTTGGCCTTGAAACGGCCATAAAGTGGACTCATCGTTTTGATTCTTCCTGGGTGGGTGGCCATGCGGTTCTGCAGTGCAGATACGAGTAGCCAAAACCGGAGCCATCCCTTTCATACATCGGGCTCTGCATGAATATGCTAGGTATGAGACTTCCTGAAGGTTCAGACTTGAGAAAGAGAAAGTATGGAGGGGCAAACATGTTTGTATCCAGTCACGAAGTGAGCGGGAACGACGAAACTTTGTTTCGGGAGAGGGGCGTTCCTGCTCACGAACACAACCGCGTCCTTACGTGGCTCACAACACTGCAAAGGATGGAAGACTATTCTGACACTCTTGTAAGGGAAGGGAATGCGGCTGCATTCTTTACCTCAGAGCTCAGGCTAGGACTGGAGAGGGCAGTCCGTATAGACCATATTCGGTACACTTGCCTAATTCTGAAAATACTCTAAGGTGATGGTTTAGGGAGAGGTTCTGTTGTGTGCCCTGGCGGAGAGCCCATGGTTCGAAGCCAAGTTCCAAGGCCCAAGGGTACACAGGTAGCTATTCTCGAGACAACCTATACCCACTTTGTGAGTATCAATAGCCTTAGGACAGGAACACCCCTCAGTCGGCTCTAGAGCTCCTTGATCTTAGGGTGAAGTGACTTCAGGTCCCACGGAGCCTGTTATAGGCCGCTCAAGCACAGTAGTGGTCGCTGAAAGGCCCACACCTGTCCCCCATTGGGAATAAAATGGGCTCAAGCTTTAGCGTCTTTGTCAAAAAGGAACCAAAACGCTTGGCTACATGGAGATCCAGATGATCATTCCTATCATGACCTTCTCCTCGAGCATGCTGGCGTACCTTGTGAGGATTGGAGTCTTGATTGGTAGTAGTAGACGAGAAGTGATCCAATAATAGCAAGAGAAGCACGTCAACGGTATTGAAAAGACGGGTCTGGTTTTGAAAGCCATCCGGGATCTACTTGTAGCCCGAAGCCTCCGTAAGCACGGGCTCGGAGAGCAAAGTGTCTTACACTGTAGCGCCACAAGAGTCAATTGCGAGCAGTCGATGGAGTCAGACTGTCACTGAGCATGAAAATTAGATTAAATCAAAGGACAACAGCCTTATCCGAATTCTCTAAAGTAAAGGTGATCTCCAACTCATGGCCTGATTCAGCTCTGAGCTTTTGATGTCGAATCACGGATATCCCTAGCAGTCGTTGAAGCACCAGGCATACGCAAGGCTCCGGTTGACCTGAATTGTGTAGGCGGAGTAAGGAAGAAGAAGAAGGGGAGTTGGGAATGGGGCTAAAATACGTGTGCCGAACAACTGGCTCCGGGCGTTGTCGAAATTATAAGCTGATGAGTGTCTGGTACCTTAAGTTACTAGGTTTGCACCCCCTCACGTATATCTGAACTCTATCCAACGTATCCAAACACATCCTTCCCCGCCAGAATCTCCCTTTATTAGGTTCACAGGCATGTAATAAATGCTTCGAGACACGGGACAACAGATTCAATATTAATCCTAGTACCAACTATCCTAGCTCGCTTACATCCAACCTCGCTTACATCCTTGCCCCTCCATCTTTCTAAATCTATTGTCACATCATGGTACCCATGAAGACCGTGGCAAGAATCGAGATCTGGACCAGTCTCGTAACGTGACCCTTGACAGACAAACTCCCAGAAGACACCTCGATAGCTTTGCTGGGGCTCGATTGACCAGATCCACTCGCGTTGCCGCCACCCTCTCCACCTTTGGCATTTGGACCCGAAGGAGTATTCCCAACCGCCTCTGTAGCCTGAGCTTCAGCGCTGCTGGGCTTTCCACCCTCTCCTGGAGATGGAGAATTCTCTGAACCTTGCGAGCCTTCGGGCGGCTGCCCTGTGATGGCTGCCTGCTCGGGTACGGTCAAGGTGTACGTGACTGGCCCCCCAGCGCACTTGTTGCAGACCGTTGTAGTTATCATGAACCCTGGGGGGCAAACCTCAGGGTTCCAAGGCACGGAGCATGGGGAATTCTCTGACCCTTGGCAGCCGAAGGTCATGGTATACGCATGATCGGAAAAACCAGTAGGAGTGCCAGCGGCGTCAGAACACAGACTGGAGACAATTGTGGTATAAGTTACTGGACATTGGGCATCAGGTGGCGATGAAATGACCTTAGTTGGCAGAACAGTAACAAGGGTAATAGGTGTGCCAAGTGTTTCAGAACCCCTCTTACAAATACCTCCAGGAGATGCATAGCTGCGTGAGATAAGAGTAAGAGAGAGAGAAAGAAGTGAAATCGAGGCAAACATAATGCCGAGTCTGCTTCAAAGTAGTATGACAAAATGGTGAGGGGAGGAAGAGGATAGAGAGATATAGACGATACCAAGAACTGCATGCGTTGAATGTGCAGTCTGTGTAATGTCATATATATACGAGCCCTTGAATTGATTTGAAAACTTTATGATCTGATGTGGAATGGGAACAGGTCCTTCCCAGCTGAGACCATTGCTATGCGAACCACTACAGACTTTTTGAACTGGAAAGTCTACTTCCTCTAGACCGGAGGACGTTGACTAAATGAGCCCATCTTATGACTCTTGGTTACGAAGTCACGCACCGGAAATGGAAAAGGTGGACTGTTCGCCTTCTCGGAGTTCATGGGCAATCTTGGGCATGTATTTCGGGACGCGGGTTCTTTCTAATGCGCAATCCTATACACAAACATTCCATGTTCTGGTCACTAATGAGTACCTTTAGCCTTGAAGTAATGAGCGATAAGTCCCATCATTAAGCAGCCTAGCACAATTGCGGAATTCAGCTGAGCAAGGGACAAGTACGGCCTTGAGTTGAGATATCGAGAAGCTTCATCTCCTAGATCAGCTCATTTCATATTTATGCCCCGGTCGTATGTGAGTTAGACTTGAAGTTAATAGCCACGAGTGCTCTTGCTCACGCTCGAATGCAAGCTCCGTTTTCGGTGAAATCCGCTCCGGAACTCAAAGTTCTTCGGCATAGCCTCTCGTATTGAGTCCAACAACCATGCTTACCGCCGATACCCGTGTCTTCCCAACATTTCCCCCTTCGGTGCAGTCTCCGCTCCGTGGTCGATAACTTTCTAAACAAACTCAAGTCTAGCAGCCTTGAGTATTTTCTTTTGAAAGTCACATACCTGACTGAAGACATCTTGACGCTTTGCGTTAGCAGTTGATGTTAGGATTAGGATACGTGTGGGCTGACAGTCTGCCGACTCTGGACAAACGATTCGTTGAACCTGGAAATAACCCCTATGCCTAGTTACTGATTCCGTGCTTTGGTTGGCATATATAAATCATGCATGTAGCCCTTAGGGAATAGAACAGCCATCCAGACACGGGCCTTGGTGTTAAAGACTTGTTACTCATCTTTGCTATACGATGCTTCGTTCATTACGTTCGCTTTTCATTACGGGGGTTGCCCTGCTAGACTTGGCTGCTGCTCTTAAGGGTTGTCCTATGGAGCCGCATCCTGTGATTCTAGTCGAGGAGACTCCCATCGTTCTTAGTACTCTTGTGTGCTCTGATACAGCCTTGACCTTTGGCGCCATTACCATCGATGTGACTTCAGCACCAACACTGCTAGTTACCAACTTCAATGCTATCACAACAAGCACTCTTCACGCTGGCAGGTATGATGACTTCTGGAGCTCTTTAACGAAGTTTTGCTCACATGAGTCCGTAGTAATACCGTTACATCCTTTACTGGACCTTGGGTTACCTTGACGGGAGGCTGGTGGACTGGCTCTGGAGTATCTACCCTCACACTTCCACCTGGTCAAAGAGGTGGAACTGGCACCAAGATTATATTCGCTGGGAGTGCAACGGGCTCCTTCACTGGACCTTTCACGACGACTACAGGAGGACAATGGACTGGAGCCGGGGTGACCACGATGACCCTCCCACCAAGTGGCAGCAGTGGGACCGGGACCAAGATCATATTCACACCAGTAAGTATTATCACATACAACACCATATTGATTTACCCAAAACTGATATCGTCTCAACTAGCCGCCGACTGGTAACCCCACGAGTACTGTCTCTGCATCAAATAGAGAGCCAGGAGCGGCATCCACGGGCGTTGGTCGGGGATCTTCTACCGGCGGTGGCTCTGCCTCCTCATTAGGGGCATCAGGAGCCATATCCATAGGCACGGGCAGTTCTACCAGTAGAGGTTCAGGATATGAATCTACATTTTCCGCCTCAACAAGCGCGGGATCTGGTTCATCTCACGGAAATACAGGAGCTGTGTCTACCGGCACAGGCGCCGGCTCAGAATCCTCTACAGAAAGTTCAGGATTTATATCCACAGGTACACGTACTGGTCCTGGCTCCGCAACTGGGGGATCAGAAGCCTCGTCTACTAGTGATGCTGGTTCAGGTTCTTCAACTAGAGGCTCAGGTACCTCGTCAACTCAAGCAGGATCCGGAGCATCTTCAACTAGAGGCTCAGGTACCTCCTCAACTCAAGCAGGATCCGGAGCATCTTCAACTGGAGGACCAGGTACCTCATCAACTGAAGGATCTGGTGCATGTTCAACTGGAGGATCTGGGGCATCTTCAACTAGTAGCGCTTCTACATCTTCCACAAGAGAATCTGGCTCAGGATCCTCTACAGGAACGACAGGAGCATCTTCAGCTAGTGGCGGGAGCTCTGCCTCAACAGGAGGATCAGGAGCCTCTTCTACTAATAGTGCTGGCTCAGGATCATCCACTGGCAGTTCAGACTCATCTTTAACTGAAGGAACCTCAACAGCAACTTCAAGCAGAGGAACCTCAACAGCACCTTCAACAGATAGCACAAGTTCTGCCTCTTCTACCGGTAGCACTGGCTCAGGCTCATCGACTGGAGGGCCAGGTAGCTCTTCTACCCTTGACACAGGCTCCGGTTCTTCTACTGCCGGCTCAGGCTCATCTACTAGCTCGGCCTCATCTACTAGCTCAGCCTCATCCAGTAGCTCAGTATCATCTACTAGCTCAGTCTTATCTACAAGCTCAGCCTCATCCAGTAGCTCAGTATCATCTACTAGCTCAGTATCATCTACTAGCTCAGAATCGTCCACTGGCTCCGACTCTACCTCATCAAACACGCAAGGATCGTCCTCTACCGTCTCGGCGACCGCGAGTCCCACCGCGGTAGCCTGCGCGAAAACGCCACCTCAGTGCCTGGCGCTGGCTGGAACAAGTGGCCAAGAATTCTCCGATCGGCTCGGAGCTTGTACAAGCGCCTTGGGTGATTACGATGGCGTGAACACCGAGGTGGGATACTGCACAAGCAACAACCTCCCTGGGAATACCGGCGACAAGCTCATTGCTTGCTTGAATGCTGCCCTGGCAGGAATATGCATCACGGATCTCCCTGAAGCATGTACGAGCCTAGCCGGCAAGACCGATCTGTTACTGGCGCTGGCTCTCCCTTATTGCAAGTCCGCTCTAGGCCCTTTCAGTGCTAGCGGCCCTGCTGCGACATGTGTGGCAGGCAATTTGAGTACAGGCGATGCTGTCATCACCTGCTTGAACGCTGCGCTGTTCTCTTGAATCTGGGCTCGGGCTCAGATGAAGGTAGCACAGCATGATCGGGATCCAAGTCTGGTCACTATTATCTGAGTATGATGGGAATTGGAACTGATGCAAAGGCTTGCGCCCGTGGAGAGTGCTTACTGTGAAACCCCGACAGGTTTATCTCTTCTTTGATTTAGGTTCAGGTTTGTTTTCTTTTGTTTAGTAAGTTACAGTGGCTTAATATGTTACAATTGTATCTCTTGGCGTGTTTATGACTCCGTGAGCAATGATAATATCCACCTCAGACACATTATTGACAAGTTTTTCTAAGGGCATGATGTCCGGGTCAACTTGCCGTCAGCGACTAAAACCCTCATTCAAAGAGCCTCGCAAAACAACAGCTAGTAGACCAGAGGGAGGAAGAGCGATAGAGGAGCATGCTAAGCCGCTGTATTTACATATAAGGCGGCAAGGGCCGATATCTGTTACCCCGCAACTATCTTGAAGCGACAGCCGATTTCGGTCTAGACTCAATATTCACGGTATGCCTGACCTGAGAAACTATCGAGAGTCGGACTTACCAAGCACCGAGAAGCCCTTACCAAGTAATCATGTGGCGTTTGTCCAAGCCTGACGTGGCTCACTAGCCCAAACGCTAAGGGATGGCTGGTGATCTACGCTTTTCGCTCAAGGCTATCGATATGTGAAAACGCTTCGTGAAGTGATTCCTTCGCAATTATGACGCCTGGATGCCACAGCGGTTACTTTGTTTACCGAAAGGCTGAGCCAAACCAGCTGAACCTGCGGGGAAGTTCTCTCCACTCAACAACCCAGATAGGGACTTAGCTTTCCTAGCCACCAATACACCATGCAAGAAAGCAAGCCTTCGATCGGTTCAGCTGAGTCGAATCAGGCCTGGAGCTAAATATCGGCCTTATGCGTCCACGGGTGAGACAATGTCCACGTGCGTGATGTTTCGAGGTTAACTTCTCCGGAGTTCAAGTTCCTGCTCTGTTCCTTTCCGAATTATGCTCTCTCGTTCCCCATCCATTCTTGTCAGTTATTCTTTTGGCCCTTCGGTAGATCACTCGGCCCAAACTGTGATAGATCACTTGCTGGTCAAAATGTCTTACTACGCCACGTCTCTTGACAATACGGATCAACGCACTCCTATGCAGTCTTTGCAGAAAGCCCAACCTCATGTTGACTTCGAATCACGATTTATCCATCATTGAAAATAGCACGAAGGTTTCTAAACGTAGCGCGATAAAACCTGTTTATATCTCAAATATGGACCTCGTTTCATTCATTTCGTGGCTCGTCCATCCGCGAGATATGAGTCACAGCTCCTGCTCCTCACCATATCAACGATGTCCTCGACCTTTGGATAAACTTCCTTAAATCATTAGTAAATGGAATGAAGTGATGAACGCTATCTGCAGGTTGTAATAACCGTAGGCCCACGGAATTATTTTCACTGACTAATACAGTCTGATGTATCCGAGCCGTGTCGGGCTTATCATGACTTCATTCTAGGAAGCAAAACTATTTAAGGAAGCATGAACCCCATTTCTAGTGACCAAGTCAACAACCCTTTTGAATTCTTTTTTTCGACCGGAAGATAAACTCTGAGAGCCCATTGAGCAAACATGTCATTTACATCCACCACCAAGCGTATCCCGATGCAAGACAATGTCCATCTCCATGTCGAGCAATCATTTCCTCCAGCACAACGTCAAGGCTATCCAACTATTATCTTTCTACATTTCTGGGGAGGATCTTCCAAAACATGGTCACCCGTCAATGATTTAATCGCACCGACCTTCCCAACTGCCCGGCTTGACTTTCGCGGATGGGGCAAATCAGCTGGACCTGCAGATGAGACAGAATACTCGATTCTCCAATTAGCCCGAGACGTTGAACGGGTCATTGAACGACTGGAACTGCAGGAATTTATCATCGTCGGGCATTCTATGGGTGCAAAGGTAGCGCAAGCCGTTGCTGGTCGGAAGTGTGTTGGTGGGCTTGCAGGTTTAGTCCTGCTCTGTCCGGCGCCGCCAACACCATTGATCCTGCCTGAAGAGATGCGCAACCAACAAATAAGCGCCTACGATAACGCACAGAACGCCGAGTTTGTTGTTCGCAACGTTCTCACTGCAAAGCCCCTGCCCGACGTCGCCGTCAAGAAAATTGTGGAGGATATGTTGAAGGGAAATCCGGCTGCTAGAGTAGCGTGGCCACGACATGCCATGAGTGAAAATATACTAGGGATAGCCAAGGGGATCTCCATTCCGTCAATTGTTATCGCTGGAGGCAAGGATCAAGTTGAACCGGTGGCTCGTGTCAAGTCTGAGGTCTCTGGTAACATTTCCGTCACCAAGTTCCTCGTGCTGGAAGAAGTTGGACATCTGGCCCTACTAGAGGCACCGGAGGAAGTCGCGGAGATCATAAGTGACTTTGTGTCACGTCGCATTTAAAAACTGAAGAGCCGGGGAGCTATGGTTATCCTTCTGTATCGGACTTGGTAGTTTGATTGGAACAGGACACTGAGGTCCATAGTCAGCAGACTCACCGAAACTGCACTTTGGGGAGTTAGCTAATCAGTAGCTGGATGGTAGGTAGATTAAAACGTGGTGCGCTTGGCCCTGAGCTTAGCTCTGGGGATCAGAAAATCATGGTCACACAAAAGCTGCTTTTAGAAACTGTTAAAGCAATAGCGTTTGGAGTTGGACATAAAAGCGGATAAAACAAGGAAAAGCTTTACAGATGAGACATGGCTAAGATGTATTTTGTAGCTGAAACTGTTGACCTCTGAAAAACTCATGTATTGTAAAGATTTGGCCCCACAGCAACCGTTTCTTTACTGCCTTTCTTATCTTGCGAATTTATGTAAAAGGGGAGTCCAAGATGGACGACCTATAGTATGAGGGTCGCTGAACTGTAATGACTCTCAAGTCTGGGGAAACTTCCTTCCCCTTCTCAAAGTCTTGAACGACCTGGACACGCCTCTTCTTTCAGTGGTGTAAACTCGCTGATACTTGTCAGAGTCAGTATGAGACCCTAAAGAAGACGGGAGACAAGCTACTCTTACCTGTTATGACTACTGTAGTCCTCATAGTTATGAACAGGGTTAAGTGCTGGGTGAGAGTGCAAGAATACGCGTCCTTTGTATAACTAATGAACCTTCTAGAATCTTACGAGTACCATTAAGTAAATCACCATCACTTGTACAGCTATACCCTCCAAAAACGTGGAATAGACCGAACCAATGGCTAGCCACCTAGCGATGGCGTCACAGTAAGAAATTTCAATCAAATGAGACGCTGAGTCTCTGACTAAGTATTACTGCCATGCTCATCCAGACTTTGCATTTGAAAACCTTGATAGTCTTTCAGACGTATTGTAATAGCTGTACTCGCCGATTGAAATCTCCGAAACGAGTTCATGGAAGACCCTCGAGAGGACCCTGACGCTGGTGATCGAGTCATCGTAGGGTTATTGCTCAGTGAGTTGAGGTATCTTTGGCGGCCATGCGACGAGCTTGTGGAGTGCGAAGATGAATTGTTGGACTTGTTGAAACCCAGACTAAGAGATGGGGCCATTGGGGCATTTGTTTGCAGGGGGGTGACCTGGGGCGAAGTCTCCTGGAAGGAGGAGTGACGTTCTGCACTATCCATCCTATGTCGAATCACGTTATCTAGAACTCTCTGTTGATAGTTCTGGACACGTTTAATTGATCCATTGTCCTCTGGTTCTAGTTCGGACCATGTGTGATGCTTGATGAAGTGCTGTAGAAAATCTCTCTTGATAATTCGCGGTGATAGCTTTTCTGTCATTAAATCGTCGATTGCGCAGAGATAGAACAGGCTAATGCATTTCCCAGTGACATTTTCCCATACGAATCCGTTCCCCCAGTTTGGAGAGATGGTCGTTTGATGAACAATCATCCGGCATACAACAGCCAGGAAATGCGAAGGTGATATACCTGATATCTCGACTTGGTTCCACCAAGACAATGAGATTGATGTTTTCTGCTGCGCATTGCCCCAGACGAAGGCAAAAAGGAATCCCGCCTCTTGCCACGTATCAAGGCAACTCTGCTTTTTTATCAATCTCGAGATCTCCTGTGAATTTGCAGCGCCATCTGTATGTTGGAATAAAGTGTCAAACTGTACAAGAGCATGACTTGAGGCCCCTTTTTCGACCAACTCAAGCCATTCGTTACATAAGTTCAGGCACAGCCGAAAGAGATATAGAAACTCTCCATCATCAATGTCCAGTCTTTCAACCAAATCGTCTGGGGTATGTTTATGAGTGGAATCCCCTTGTATAAGAAGGATAGACCACATATTGAGGGAACAATTTGGACTTGCGACGAGTTCATCCCTGATCTGGCGAAGTCGGCCAAGGTGCCTTCGAGCCTGGTCCTCTTCGCCTGGTATAAGAGCATAGATGCGAGAAAGGTAGGCATGAAAAAGCATGCGATCTTGCGCAGTGGTAAAAGGAAAGACTGACGTCTGATCTGCGTCCCCTTCTGCAGCTTCGAGAATATGGGAATCTTGTAGCAGGCTGATAACCGATTCACCCATGGTCGTTGATTTGGCCATCCTCATAAGATCCAGAAATTGGCGTCCAAGATTCTCATCGGCGATAATCCTACTACTAAAGCGGATGTTCTCCATAATACAGTCAAAGGAATCTTGGAAGAGGTAGCAGCATGCCGAATAATCTAAGTACAGCTCTCGCGTTGTGCCACACATCAGAAACTTTTTTTGATTTCGATCCAGGACCCGGGGGTGCGAAAATCTCAAGGTTGATGGAATCTGGGTTTCGGGTGCGTTCGTAATACGCATTGGACTCTTGACATTCGCTGCGTGGCATCGGTTGCTCGATAATCTGGTTTTCTGGGGGCTCTTCTCGGCCTCCAGAAAAATATCTTCAGCTTTCCGAGACGGCTCCTTGCATGAATCCTCGTCATCCTTGGCGTTCTTGGGAGGATCGAAATCTGGACTAAGTGTATTGTCAATGTGGAAAAGAGGTTCGTGTTCATCATCTGCACCTAAAGCATCAACCTCGATATCAAATATCGCGCCGGATGGCTCAGGCTCCATCAAAGCAGTTGCTTCAAGCGCCCGAGCTATTGTCTTGGCCTGGCGAGGTTGCTTATAGAACCCCCAATGCTTTGTTGCTTTTGCAAACTGGCTGGTGCTATGTGATCTCGGGTCAGCAGCCATGATCGTATATAAAGCTGGGACTTGACTGACCTTAAGTTAAAGTTGTAGTTATGCTTTAGGCAACTAATTACCTCTGGACGAGTCATGTTTTGATCCAAATATAAATGCCGGATGATGTTTTTGTACTCATCGAGAACAGCTTTCGGCACGTCTCTGGCCCGGTCTTGTCGCCTATAAACCCATGTCAATCTTGACGAGGCCATGGTGCCAAGCGACAATAACTTCAGGCAGAAAATGATGGTATGATTCGATTCGAGCGTGTAAATAATAATGCTACCAAGTCTGCTGGTGAAAAAGAAATAGTCAACTAGTCTTCAGTCTATTATATGTTCGTTTTGCACATTGAGGCTACGTGCGTGATGGGCAGGGGTATCGGATTGAATTTCGGCTTCCAATTGGCCGATCGCTGCTTAGAAGGGACGATTTACACTAAAATTACTTTTTACTGGTGAGCCCAAACCAAAAGCAGAAATTCGACTCTGGATACCAAGAAGTGGCTGTTTGATCATCTCCCATGTTGCCTGTCTCGCTCGCATTTTCATCCCTTAATTCAAGGCGCTAATCTTTAGAATGGCCAAAACCGGTAAAGATAGTAGTTTCTGCCTCGCGCTTGGCCTCCGGAATCTTTGTTCCGTATGAACTTATCCAATGTCCAATCTATGTACCTCTGATTAGGCTCTCTCAGCCAAAATAAAGCGTTTCCTTACTTGGTTAAGCCCGACAGATTGAGCACGTGACGTGGTATAGAGCCGCAAGTATGTTTTCACGCCAAAATGGCCCAATGTGCCATCGCGTTGAAGACATGCTGTTGCGGAAGGCCAGTCCAGTCCTTGGTTTTATTGCAACGAACATTTCGAGGTATCCTACGTCTACGACCCGGCATTAAAAATGGCAATTTCACTAGCATCAACGATCCTGTCTTCATCATTGTGGCATAGCCCCCAAACTCTTCTGTACCTCGGGAGAGGCGCCAACACCAAGGCCGAGATGTAAGTGGCAATGAATATTCTTCGCTAATGGTCTTTTATCTGTGTAAGTTCTCCTTTGGTTAGCGAGCATTACCACTATAGTGCGGTGCTTGTTATCGCGGACTAAGAGCTCCTGTCGCATAATACTCACCGCTTAACGTCTCTCACAATACGGACGCCTCAATTGAGAAGTCACGGCTCTTTGGACTTCTTGTTATGTCTATCAGGTACAATATTTGAAGTTATTTGAGTCTGTTCAATTCGTCATTGAGTGAGGACCTCGGGCGCAGATGTGCGGTGGCCATAGCAGCTAATTCCGACCAACAGCAGCAAATCAGCATGCCTAAGAACAGATAAGCTACTAAGCACCCGGCCCCGAATGTTCATTTACTTATACCGACCAAATTCTTCTGTTGGCATCGAAGCCGGACTTAACATTGTCTGGTATTCTCAAACACTCCGTAAGTCGTTGACTGAAGATCAAGGTCGACCAGCATTTATTCCTTTTCGCCAATGCAACCTTAGCATCATCATCATCCTCAGTCCCACTATCAATAGCTGGTCGGCGTAGGGGCACGAACATCGACGAAAGTAGGTCACACAGTCTTTGTTTCATTGAACCATTGATACACCGATGTTTCCATTATAACACAAGGCCCACGATGGATTTCTCAAACATATCACGGACAATGTCTACACACAGAGCCTCATAGCTTTGACAACTATCCCTTATCTTTGTAGTTGCAGAGCGCGGCTAATATTGCTGATATCACCCAGACGTATTCTCAATAGGGTTGAGGCTTAGCATTCAATCGCGGCCCTGATACATGCACTAATGCACGCATAGGAAAGGTTTCTTCCTCCAAGCGCTTTGACACAAGCTTAATTCTACCCGCTAAGTAGAAATAAGATCTTAAGACTACTGTTACCAAAGCATTAATGCCGAGAGCCAAGCTAACATGAATGCGAAACAAGACGAGCGCTTGGATGCCAGTCATTGTTAAGAAATCCATCGTCGAGATGTAGAAACCAGACGAGAAAAAGCCGAGAAAAAGGTTGCTTGAGTAGAGGGCCAAGATGCACATCACTTTCACGCCATGATTTACTAACAATAATATCACGGCGATTGCTAACTATCCTTTCCCTGATTTAGTAGAACAGCCCACGTGCGCGACTTTGGCGCAGAAAGAGAGTCAACAAACCGCAAGTATGCTGAATGGAAACCTCTGACAGACCTCACACAGCCGGGCAACGGTTGACCGAGCACCACATCCCATATTCCAAATCCTCCATCAGCACTTCAATCTATCCACTGCCTTGCGTATCGCTTGGGTGAGTTTCAAGCTGGAGCAGGGCTGTCGCCTAATCTCTTCACGCCATCGGGTAAAAGGCTTCATGTACCGTTGCGAAATGTCCGCCAACCGGCGATGCCTTGATTGGCAATTTGCCCAAAAGACTCTTTGATTAGGATGAAAATTAATAGGCAACAGTACGAAAGTAACTCGAGAGGGGAAGCAACCACAAACAAAGATGATAGTTGTTGTAAGCTATAGCATGCAGCTAGATGTTATTTTGAGCTGATAGTCCCCACAGCTGATGGCTCACATCACGCGCCTCACACACGCTCGATGTTGGGTTTGCCCTAGCAATATGCTTCCGGCACCCAGAGGCATGCAACACAAATTCCAACAATCCACTCGAATGGTGGATGCAAAGGCCTCTCAAATTGGCATGGCCGGCTCTACACTTCCGTGGCATCAATATGCAGACCAAGAAAGCCAATCACATCGCACGAGCCAGGTCGCCAACTGTACGTTTTGTTGTTCTTCGAAGCCCTGGAGCCACGATTAGCAAGTATGTGAGAATGCCATTCAAACTGACCGGGTATTTGCTGACATGACGCCAGAATTGATAACTGCCGTGGACTGAGGGGTATGACGGAGTTGTTGTGCTGTCACATTCGCAACCACGATTTAAATCAAGGCTTCTTACAAACTAATTAGAGACACTTTGTGCAATAATCATCAAGTTGCCTAGGGACTCAGATCGCTATCTGCATCAGCGAGCTTAATTAATGGCTTTTGGTTTCCGACAACATGGATATGAACATGAGTAACGATAGAGTAGGGTGCCCCAGGCCTCGAGAGAGGCCTTGAGCGTAGCCTTGAGGCTGTGACCGAGGTCGAAGCCGGACCTTGTATGTTATATAATCATCTTTCCCGTAACCTCGTATGCGTTTATTGGTGTTCTTTACCTTTGTGCCCTTGCGGCTGAAGCCTCTTTCCCCTCAACACTGTCTTAGTCCAAAGGGATAGAAGGCGTATGCGAGCTTGAGAAAGAAGAAGAAGAAATGCTTATAACATAATCTAATGGGTCTTTGATTATGAAGTATTATGAGGTACAGGACGTCATACCTCAGAAATTAGCATGAGATTTGTTGCTTAACCGCTGCATTCGTCAGACTCCTTGACATGTTTACCACTGAGTACCTATCGACGGGGATGTCATGGCAGCCAATGACTGTCACAGTCGCGATATCTCACTGGGAGGCATCATTGTCCACGATCAGTTCAAGAGTGTTACTTGGAATAACGATGCCAATTGGCGTCTTCACGCCTAGCGTGACCTCTCGCCGGCCATCGACAACTCTCCTAGTCCTGTCATATCTCTTCAAGGCCGACTTATCCCAAGCTGAAATCTCATATTGAGAATTTGACAAAAGTTACAAGAACTCATATGTGTGTCTAACCCTTCTAGCATTCTAGAGGTTATAGCAGAGAAGTCAGCGCCTCATTGCTGTCTAGATCATCTAGCGTGATGCAAGCCACTCTCCACAGTCTGCATATCAACCATTGAGAACCAATACTTCCACAGCCTGCTTTTAAAGCCTGCCTGCGGTCAACTTTAATGCACAGATACGAGAATTCTCAATGAATAAGCAAAGAATCTAATGTCACCTTTGCTGGAGAGTGTCAATCTCATGCTAAAAGTGAGTTAGTGCGGCTGAGAAGGATAACTCGGAAAGGGTGCTTCCGAGACGGTGATTTACCCCAAGGACAACTGTGCTTCGAACTGGGGTCATGGATATGAGTCGATGAAGTGCGGAGTCATTCACGGCACACGCTGAAGGTTTTGGAATGCTGAGATAGGGCACCAATATGAACCCAGGGAGATGATTGCCATTGTTCAATGAAACGACGTGTTAATTTTATTATTGCCATGTTTAGTATATTCAGCTCTGCTCAGCTCGGAAAGAATTTGGATACCTCAAGCAAGAATTGGTGCCTGTCTACGCAATTGAAAGCCCACCTATCGGCGTCCGCTTCCATTTTCCTTTTGCGACACGATGTCCCCATGCCTGTCAAGATCCCTCTTTACCCCATGTCGCCCGGGAGATCCCGTTTTCCAGAAGGATCAACCTCGCCTACACACATCAAGAGCCGCCACCCATATCAACAGAATCCTTCACCACTAAAACTATATTATCCCAAAACATTCCTCTCCCATGCATGTCATCTTCCGTAACTGTAAATGTAAGTCAGCGGCTTTTCACGTCGCACAAAGGCGTATTTCCCGTCAGCAGATCCCGTATTAAAGTTTCCATCCGATCGGGCTGATTATTCCTCCGAGCCAACCCCCGGCTCCGGATCCTGATCCTTCAATTGCGACGAAACCCCCCAAACCATTCGATTAGATGTCTGATTGTCCCTTGAAATTCTTGATCGTTCTGGTCTGTATCTGATCGAATCAGAAAATCCGAATTCCGAAGAATGCCGCCTCCCAATTGTCTCCTCCACGTCGAGGACACCTTTGGACCCGTTGTCAAGGGATGCGGGTCCAATTTTGACTTCACTTTGTTGTTTGAGGAGACGATTCTTTATATTCTTCCTCTTTGCGTGGCTATTTGTCTTGCTGTCTTTCGGGTTACGCGACTTTGGGGGAGGCCGGTGATATTTAGGGGTTGTTTCATATTACCGCTCAAGTTGGTATGTTCTCATCTCTCCTCTGTTTTCCTCCCTTGCGCTGAGTTCT